TTTGATTATGTATGGGGGAAAGTGAGAATTCCCCTAGTTTGGAAGAGAAGGGTTAAGATTTAAACAATACAGCAGAAACAACATTCTACAGTTAAAGCAGGAATTTTCATTTTTATATAATGACAGAAGCTACAGCCTCTATGATCATTCATTCATATCCTGCTCCTTCATCATTTCTTGGAGATTTCATACAATCTTTAAAATTTACTTTAGTTCTGGCAGAATTGTGTTTTCTATCTTCCTCCAAATCTAAGAACAATTAATAAAACAATAAACTTACAATTTATAAATGTCTAAAAATTTTTAAATTAGGATTGTTTGCACAACTTCTTCTTAGATAACATGTATGTCTGTATTTCTGATTAGGTTGAATAACGCACAGCTTTCAAACAGTTAAACATAGTAAGCATAATTCTTCATCACACATTTCTATCAAAGTTAACAGTAGGATGAATTTGGCTTGCCAGCTTAGTCATTATTACAGATATTACACTGATGAATGATGGTGCTAAGTGCTACTGTATCTTGAGGACTGATTAAATTAGAAAATAAATGCTTTCTAGACAGAAATAGGGTGACACAGTTCCCCATATGCCTTTTTTTCTATTTGACCATTAGACTTTAATTTTCATTACTGGCCAGAAGACTAGCAGCTATTTGTACACAATTATTCCTGTAAACAGATTGGGAATGTTCATATATTTCAGGGAAATAGCTACTGCACATATATGGAGTAGCTCAGCAGTGCACACAAAAAGAAATCTAAATGGAGAACTTAGCACATGTTCATGTCATTTGCAACAGTCAGCATATGCTGCAGAAATGGCCTATGAAATTTATTGAAACACTGAAATTTAATGTGGACAAGATGCATCAGGCTGAATATACATGCACAAGTCATGTACAAAGTGCTTATTCATGTATGTCTGCCTTGGAATTCCCAAGCAAAGCATGGGAGCCATAAGCAATGGTTCCTATTAAGATTGTAACCTAGGTTTGTAGTTTTTTGAGAAGAAGAATTTTATGAATTAGCATGGCTGTATTGAGACACTGTGAAGTATATTCTTATTATACTTTAATTTTTTAAATACATAAACCTTTACTTAAATTTACTTTGAAAATGAAAATCTCAACCCAGTAATATTTTGCTTGCACATTTAAGGTATTGTTGCATGAACTTATGCTGGTTAAACAAACAAAATACCATGACTAACTAATGATTCAAGAAATAATGTTTGTTGGAGACATCTTGATTCTTTGAGTAAACAACAGAATGGAAAGGAATGAAAAACTTTTCAGAAATATTTAGCCATTTATGTCTTTCCAAGTTTTACAAAACACTCAGGGAAACGTCCGTTGTTGAATACTTTACAAATGCTCCATTAACACTGGAAGCTCTAGACACACCAAGAATGAAATGAAGGTCAAATACTGTGAATCACCATTACTGACAGAGTAACGAATTACTGTGAGCAACCACAAAGCCGGCACAGCCTTGGAAGTCCAAGTTTCTGAGCAATGTGCTGAAAAGGTTTGACTGCCATCTACAGATAATAGTAATTAGTGCACTGGTAGCAATTCAAGAAAAAATTTCTACAAGCCTAATAAACATCCAGTGCAGATATATTGGAGGAAACCTAATTATTCAAAAATGTATAAAATAGGGTAGCTAACCAGAAATGTTCTAGGGGTTTTGTTTTTTGGGGTTTTTTTTTCTTGCAAAAATATAACTGCACAAAGAAATACCTCTAGATTTGAGATCTAATGGGTACAAATCCAGCGTCTACTACTTCCTAAATATTACTAGACAAAAATGCAAAGTACTAACATTTCCCTTTTATTTAAACTAGGAATTATTAAATGCTGATCTTCACATAGTAAGTTCTCGGTTAAAACTGTCGTAATTAAGACCTCTCATACAGAGTCACTGGTTAGCAAAACCACCAAACTTTCAATTATATTGTAAATATCTAATCATACATATGTTATCCAAATACTTGTAGGTGCGCAAAGTTGTACAAGTATCTTCTATTTAGAGTTTTCTGTTAAACTTAGTCTTCCTAATGAGGCTAGTCCCATCTAGGCAGAACATACACAAACGTAACACAACACAAGCAACTTTTCAAAAGATTTTCCTTCAGCTGTTCAGAACAGCCAGCACAGTAGTTCAGTTCGCTCCTGTCAAACATATCCCTTCTCTTTTCTTTCTATCTTAAAGCCTCTTTCATTTTTTTCAACAGCTGCTGCCAAGCTGTCTTTATTTCCTCTCCAACTCTTAGCTAACTGGCTAAGCAGTAAGCCTGCTAAAACCTTCTTTCAAAAGTATTGTTCTAAATTGTGGAATAATTGAGTGGCAAAGGAAAAAGCAATCAGGAAAAGCCATGGATTTTTAGGTGTTGAATACAAATAACAGGACTTAGAACTGTTCTAAATAGTATCTCTAATTAAACTAAATTACGACATTTACACACCACATGGAACTATTCTCAAGAATTATTCTGCACGGGTCAGTATTTCATATAAAAGTTTAAACATGGAGTATTTTAACTAAAACTAGCTAGCAGACAGAAAAGCCTGTGGGCCCAGCTGAAGTTAACTTTCTCACTTTGGAAGTCCTTCAGGTGCTAAAACTAAGCATAATATTCCAGTAGCCAGAAATATCTGACTTCTCAGTATTACTTTTATACATGAAGAAGGAAAGGCAACAATGGCTTTTTTATGCTCTTATATCTTCACAGAAAATCCTTTCTGTCTTAACCTTTTAGCTTGTGTAATCTTCTCCTGCATTGGCAATTCCAACTTTTCTCTACCCATGAAGTACATGCCTTTTAGATAGTTTTTCCTTACATACAGTTTCACTAATTCTCAAAATATATTCTACTTAGGAGAAGAAAGACCGAAAAACAGAGACATTCAAACCCTCCCTTCATTCTTACTAGAGATGCACACAAAAATGAGAGAGGCTGCCTTATTTCAGAGCATTGAGCACACTAATACACATTAATGGTCCTGACCATTCCCAACTGGAGTCTCCACTTACACCCTTTGCTTCAAGGCTCGGCACCACTATTTAAGCTCAGCCCTGAGCCATTAGTCTCTACCTGACCAGGTCTCCAACACTGCCCACGCCCTGGCTCCTGCCCAGCCTTGAGAAGAAACATACAAGATTACAGTAGTTGCTATTTGAAACCTGGAACTGTCAGCAGGTAAGAACTGCTAGGCATACTACCATGCCTAGCCTATAGTGATATAGTATAGCCTAGCCTATACTATATAATATACGCCTAGCATATAATGATGCTTGCACATCAGTACATGAATATTTAAAAGTGATATCTTTATAACATTTCAATAAAACTGCATTTAACAGAAAATGCAGCAACTTTTTATTTTAGTTCACATTTAGGTCAAACTTTAAAGATGCCTTTGTTTAGGTTCTTCCATGCATATTCTGGACATAAATTGACTTAGACTACTTTCATGAAAACTGAATTTCCACTTCGTATGTTGAATATAGTTTTGAAGTGAAATGATTCCCATAGCTGTACGTGCTTTGACTACATGTTCTTTGACAAGTGTGTGTGTGATAGTGTGATGCTCATTTTACAGCAAAGCAGCTACAGCAGTGGCTTGAGAATGGAGGAATGTGAGTTTAGTAGATTGCTAAGACCCGAAATTAAAATTCTAACAGTAAATCAGGAAAATCATGTTCAGGGTATCTTCAGAAATAAATCAATTCACTAACTACTACCACAGCTAAGTAACTCTTAGGATGATAAAGACATCATACAAAATAACTAGGCCAAAACTGAGAATCAAGATAGGTCACATAAACAATGACTCAAAAAATTCCAATGTAAAGTACAATAAATTCTGATTTCAGATACTGTCTAACATTTGACTTCATATTTGGGGGTTTTGAAAACTTTGAACTCACAGTTATGCCTCATCTCTTCACCTAAGTTATGCAAGAATCCTGCTGGTATGAAGTGGTATCTAGAAGAGCTGTGAGAACCTTCCCTGCTCCTTCTAAGTCCAGCTGCCTGATTAATGTTATCCACTGTGCAACCAAGAGCTATATCATCAGGTAACACGAATAAAATTATATACTAACCATGTCAGTACACAAAGAGATTCCAGTCACTAACTTTTACAGGTAACACACGGCTATTTCGATTACTCTGAATTTGAGTATGTCCCTGATATGACGCATTCCTCTAAGTACCTGCCAGCTAATCTGCTTAATTTCTTTCAGCACCCCTGCCTTCAGCCTACATTTAAATTTGTATTTACATCATCTTTATAGAATTAAAAATATACATAAAATCTCTTTCTTAAGGAATCTTTCCATAAAGTAATTTTAAGATACTTGAGGTTATTGATAGCTGTCCCAAAGCTGAGCAAGTTGTATTTTGTAGGCCAGAGAGATATAGTCTCCTTTTATATGCTCCTTCAGTTTGCTGATATTCTATTATCTACTATTTGAACCAATATGAGAGAACTAGAAAGACTTTCTACAGTTTATTCTCTTTTATTATTGAAATTCTTCATAGCTATACCTTCCTACAGACACCAGAGTGCAAATGAGCTTTCATCATCTACTACTCAAAAGAAACCGTTCCCACACAATTGATGATTACTGACACTAATCTACTTCATAAATAACGATGTCAGTGATGAAACTCTTTGTCTCAATTATATACCCCATCACTGAAACGTTTATTATTTCACATACAGAACTACCTTCTCACATGGCTATATCACCCATAAGTTTTCTCTAAATACTCTGATAAAAAGTATAATTTCAACTGCATTTCCAATATAAGGTATGAATATTGGATCAATTAGAAGTATCATATGTTGAAAGTCTACATTTTCCAAAAGTGTTCACACTGTGGAGAAGAAAAGGAAGTCTGTTCAGACATGGCCATGGAAGCGAGGAAAAGGAAAGCAAAGATTTACTTGATATATACTTAAGGCACTTAAGCTTTTTTTCTTACCTGAGTACCCAAACAAGCAACCATCATGTGAGTGAGAAGTTTAGCTGCAAACATTGCACACCTGGTGCAGAAAAGGTGGGAGAGAATAGCCAAAGTGAAACCTACACGGAAAGAAAACAAAACAAAACAAAAAGGGAGAGATTTGAAGATTAGGCTAATAAACTATGGTTGATAAGAACAATAATATTAGGTCTCTTGAAGGTGTAGATGGTTAAAAGACAAAAAAAACAAAAAACAAAAAAACCCTCAAAACATTACAGAGAGAACATGTTCACTTTAGTTCATGCTGGGCTCACTTATGAACTTATTACTCAAGTACTAACATCTATTTAACTTTTTCATAGGTTTGAAAGCTTAAGTAATTGCATAATGTAAACAAGGCATTTTTGCAGTTTTTTATATTTCTGAATGATATGGATGATTGTCATAACAGTTAAACAAAAAGCAAGGTTCAGGGTTCATATTACTGTATCCAAAAGTGCTTTTAGAAACAAACAAAAAATTGCCTCCAGTTGGATAGCATTGTTTGAGGAGATAGCTATAACCTTCTAAATGCCAGTCTCCCATTTCATTTTCTGTTCAGTGTAGAAATCTATTACAGCAGTATCCGGAAATAGTAACACCAATTTTCATTTCATTAATTCATTGCAAACATGAACAGAACAGAAATGGGAAGGGCCCCTTACCTACCAGTAGGCTGTTCTTGGAAGAAGGACCCTAGGAAAGCTGAGCAACTAAGGAAAGCACTGTTAAACTTCATGTCGAGTTAATCTTTTGTGCACTTCCACAGCCCAGGAAGAGCAGGAATTTGGCTACATAAGGCAGATCTTTTACACTCTCTTGAGACAGACTGGTTGCTCAACTACAAGTATTTGTAAGATATGAATGAAATAAATCATTAAAGACAGAATTATTTCTAAACCTTTAGAAAATTAGGTAGTGATACTTACACAACTATCTGCACAAGAAAAGTTTGGAAATAATAATATTCTATTTCACTCTACTGTGCTATTTTTTTTTCTTTTTTTTTCTTTCTTTCAATTCTTCACACTTAGATGGAGATGTTAAGAGAAATAAAAAATATCCCTACAGCTCTTAAATATAAAGCCATTTGTTAACTACTTGATTTAAATAGCTGTATCTACAAGTGTGTAAGGAAACACCGTATATCAGCTGAAGAAGCTAAAAGTCACTGAAGTTATATTCAAGGCAAACACTTAACCAGGCTAAACTGTTCTAATTTCTAAAAACATTATTATGACACATGACTGTTGTAAACAATTAGTTCTGCAGGTCTTTATTCCTTCCAGTTCAGCAAAATATTTATCTTAGCTTCAATGTCAAAAGAATATTTGCTTACTTTGTTGGTTTTTTTCTTCAGTTTCTATAGAATTTTGCATTCATTGCATATTTGGTAATTTATTTTTTTTCTGTAAATCAGTAATTCAATTTGTTTATTATACTTTGTCTTTATTTTACTTTATTTACTTTTATTTTCACTAACACAATCTAAGTTAGAAGCTTAACTGTATTTTAAAATATGATTATTTTTATCTGCTAAAAGTTTCTTTCATTATTACATAAAACAATTAATTTGTATGGCGTAGGTGAAAAACAGAGGGTTTTCTTCCCTGTCTTCTTTTTTATGGATGTGGTTTAAAAACAGTTAAGGAGCTCAGCTTTAGTCCATTAAGGCAATTTGCTGGGAGGGCATAAATAGGGGATTCAGGTGATTGCGCTGGTTTTTTATGCATTGATTGTCTAGTCTAGAGGTCATAAATCTCACATGGAGCAGACCCAGACCCCATGTAAATGCCTTAAGGTTAGACTAAGAATCTCTTTATCATGTTTTCTTAGTGACCATGTTAGTCTCAGGTTCCTGCTTCCACAGTGCCTATCAACACAAGAAGAAAAATTTACTTTCATCTGGGATTGCCTGAAACATAATAGTGAAGTGACTGCAATGTGAAAAGTGTAGTTTCCTTCTCCTTTGGAAGCCAAGTGGAGTTTAGAACTCAGATCTCCTAATTCCTGTCTGACATTCTGGGACTTCTGCAAATGCTGTTGTGGCTGTCAACAGAGTCATGATTCAAGGTTAAACACTTGGGCTTCTACCAAGACATTAGGTAGCAGTTAGGCAGCAGAGTGTAATGGAGCTCTACATGCATGATATGGAGTCTATCTCCCTTTAGTTACTACTTCTGAGTGTAAACTGTCAACTAAAATTGTCAAAGAAAGAACTTCCAGGCTAGGTAGAAAAGTGCCTGAAAGATTTGACACAGAGGACAACTGCTGCTAGAGACACTAGTGAATTTGGGTCTTCTGAGATCCTTCCCCCAGATAAATAACATATTTCTCTTTTGCATGGTTCAGTAAAACATCACAAAAAAACATACTTTCTGGATTCTTTTTTCCAGAAGCGGCAAGATTTGTCATCATGCAAATACCAGACCAAATGGCAACTTTAATACCATGAAGTTAGTTAACATTCCTCCAGCATTCCTCCAGTTATAGACACTGTCAGCAGTTAATAAAATTGCTCAAAATCTATCAGCCTTACGGGTCCTCAGTCATTATGAATGAGAAAACTGTCTTAAATCAACTGACCTGAAATGCAGATGAATCCAGAAGAGAAAAAAGCCTCATTGTAAGAAGACAAGTTATCTGTCTGGGCATAAACTGCATAAATGGACATATGAGAACAAGAGCATTCCACGTAGTCTGATGAGTCATCAATCACTTTGCAGAAACCAGTATCAGACAGCCAGCTGCAAAACAAAACATTCACAAAGTTGGAAATGGATTTGTGTAATTTATATGCTAAGTACGCTTGAAAGCTGTTGTATTTCTGAAATACTAAGTTTTCTAAACTGTAGCATAGATGTTTTGTGTAATCTTCCAAGTACAAATAGCTTGTTTTGTTTGTTTTTTTACTTTCATCATTAAAAATAATTGTAAATATAAAATAACGAATATTTTTTTCCAATAGAGAATCTTTGTGGCCATATTTTTAAAATTTCCGCAAGAGTTACAGGTCTGCTTGGCTTTTCAAATAGTTTCTTTCTTAACTTGCACAATACATTACCCCATTATGGAGAACACTTCATTTTATACTGCTATTTGTTGTTTTGAAACTAAAATTCATCTTGTGTTTTCTTTCAGTATTGCTGAACTATTCTGAAAAAGGATAATACAACTGACATCCTAAGCCATTTCTAGTGGAAATTACGTCTGTTCTGTACTATAGTGTCTAGGCAAAAGGAGAGAATACAGGTACATTCTGCTGCATATCAATGAAATTATATCTAAACCAACTAAAGCTCAGCAGGACACAGAATATAATTCTCTCCAAATTCTTTTATACTGTGTGAACAGGGAAGACAGGCTAATCAAATAATGCCGCATTAAAGAGTGTACACAGTAAAACTTTATTCCATGGTTTGTGATGGTACGAGTAGCAACAAGAATGAAAAAATAACCATTAGCTCACCATTTCTTCTAAAAACCAGGAGAGACAAACTTAAGCTAGCAGCTGCAGACAGCCCTTCTGTCAAAAAGTAATAGCCCTACAGAGATCATTGCCAAAAGATGTGCTGAGATTCTGGATGGTGCAAGGAAAGACTGGACAAGTTTGCAGCAGATAAACCACTTGGGGTATGAAATACACAAAATCACGTTCAGCATACAGAATTAGAGAGTACAGCATTAGGGGAATTGCTATTTATACTTTTCATGCTCTTATTCTTCCCTAGGAATTTACTTTTAGCCACTACTGGAGGCAGGATACTGGTCTAGATAAATCCCTAAGATGCCCCTTAACAGGTTTTTTGGTTCACTTACACAATGTCTTTCACAGACCCAAATAAAAGAGTAGGTATTAGCAAACTAGGAATATTCTGAGTCAGTGACTTGAAGCAATACCAAAGAGGCAGGTTTAGTTCTCTACTTTTTAAGAATGGACTTGAGTCATTAATATTAATGAAGTGATGCAATTCTGAGATTTGTGGCCTGTTAGCATTGCCTAATACATCATTATAGAATTTGTACGGTATTTTGTTGAAAAATGTCAGCAGTAGAAGATTAAGAAATTTCTGAGCTAGAATAACTATGCATTTTATTATACGGAAAGTTTTATGTGCCAGTACTATGGCCAGAAAAAATAAGGAAAAAACACACATCAAAAAATGGATCAATTTTATACTTCCAAATGATCTAATCAGAATTATCATATATTAGGCAAATACACAGGTTCATGGTAGAATCTGGAGAACTAAACTGGTTAATAAAATAACCTTTCAGCAGCTTGATTCCAGAGGAGACATAGAGACTTCTGTGGAACAATCCGACTTCCTGTAGCATAAATCCGATAAATTACTTCATTGTTATCTTTTAAAGGCTGTGAACTCCAACCCTTCAAACTCATAGAAAAAACCTGAAACAACATGCACAACATAAATACAAATTTAATATTAAAATGGAACAGTTAGTTGCATTTTAATCAGAGACACAAAAATGTTCACATTATTTTAAATATATTAAGATGCTTTGAGCAATATCTAAATTAAACTGATTTCTTGAAAAAGTAAATTGCATTATCTTCAAACCTTGTTCTTCAGGGCAAGTTCTTTATCTCCAGTAACGAACCACTGCTGACTGCTGTATTCTGTGAACTGCACAGATTCACAGTTATCTCTTTGAGGAGGTGATAATGAAACAGAGACGTCTAGTAAATGTTCAGGCACTTGAATAGAATCCCCATCTTTTCCATCAAATCTGTGTCCATTGATTTGCTGAGGAAACCAGTTGTGAGCCATTATTGCAATGTACGGGCAGCTGTCAAGGATATTTTTACCTCTGTTGAATTGGAAAAGCAATAGGCCTGGTAAGTGGAAATGAGCTTCATTATTCTTCACAGAATGGCTCTAAAATGTGTTTGTAATTAATATTTTATTCTTCTATAATTTTTAGGCTTTATGACATTCAATTGACAGACAGTTTCTGTGATAAAACCAGGGGTTAAATTATTATGTATTTCAGCTTCTCTATTTCCCCTCGCCTGGGTTTTGCTCACTATGATCTGCAACCAAAACCCCTTCATGGTAAACTAGGTTATCATAACACTCATCTTGTATCTTGTACTCATCACTAACTTGATGTAGAGATTAGTCTACAAGAATGAGAGACATTAAAATGTATGATCTTGCTTTACCTCTTTTTCCCAACCGATGCAAAAAAAACTTGGAATAAAAAATACTAACTTTCAAATTCTGGACACTGTCCAGGACAGTGCTGATATTTATGTCATCTACTGTCTTATGGCTGAGATGAGATTCATTCCCCCTACAATCTAGGATGGGGCAAGAAAATTTTCATCTCCAAAACAAGCTGTGATAGAAATCTGAATTATGTTGATTTTTTGAGGGCAAAAAAAGAAGTATTTTTTTCCTAAATTCAACTACCATTTGTTTAATAGATTCACAGAGGGAGAAACCCACTGCTTTAAATCATCTGACTTATAAAAGAGTGCAATGTATTTCTGCAGTCACCTACTTCCCCTGGCCATAAGCCTGACCACAGGGTATTATGTACTTGCAGACACAACTACCAATTTGAAACTACATGTGAAAAGTACACTTAGCTTTTAAAAAATTGTAAATAATGCTCAACTGAGCAAAACCAAACATGCAGAAATTACAGAATGCCAGGAGAAATGTGGGGTTAGTGACTCCTCTAAGTCTTAGAACATAGCTCTCCAACATAGAATTACACAGTATTTTCTTAGTAAGAGTAATAAATATTTTCCAGGCAGTATTTGAGCTAAAGGTGAATTAATATATCACAGATGTTCTGAGTCCTACACCCACACCTCCCTGTATCTTTGTATCAGTTAATTGTGACACTGGCTCATAGCGCCAATACAGTGCTGTCTGATTGGAACACAGAGTAATGCATTTCCACGTAGGTGACAGATGTCAGTCATTTGTATGTTGTCACGTATTTCTAAAACATTATGAATTCAAGTTTACTAACCTTTCTCCTGGTGATCCACATGTTATCCCAGTCAACAGGGAAAAAGCAAACTTCTCAGTCATCTCAGCAAGCAGGCTATATCCTCGTGTGTCCTCTCGTTTAGGGCTAGCCAGAGCACAGAGTATCTCATAGAAAAGACTTCTACTTTTATCAGTGAGTAACTGTATTTCACCTATGTCTGTAACCTAATGAGAAGAAATCAAACAACACTTCAGAAGTCTGCTTATAACATTTCCTCATGTTGAACAGTTTAGTAAGACCTTCAATTTTATACCAGTGTTCATTCTGAAAGTTCAGAATACTTTTTCCACCTTCTGCTCATGACTGATAAGGCATGAGATGCAGCCTATGTCAGAACTACATAAAGATATGCTTATTAATAGGGATTTGGTTGTTAAAGAAATCATGTGGCATTTTCATTCTTTTACAAATCAAGGATTGTTGAGTCCTGAGAATTTTTTACCTTATTTTTTGTATTCTGTGTCAAAACAGCAACAGAGACAAATCATTGTTCAAGAATATTATTATACTGCTTTGCATCTATGTATTTAAACATTTTCCAGCTTCTGTGCATTATTCCATAAGCCCAGAAGAGCCAGAAAGCCAAAACTAGTCCCAGAGTTTTGATGCAATGCTGAAGCGCTCAGCTACCCTGCCAACCCAATTCCCGAATCTACTGCAGGCAGAAAAGACAAACTGCATGCCTGGTCAATAGCACAACAGACTTCAGATGGCCCTTGTAGGATTTGGTTATGTGTTGACTGCAGTGAGCTGTGAAGATACAACCAAACCTTGGGCCTCAGTGTCTTGTGCCAGCGCTAAAACAAATAAAGATGTGGCCTGAAAATCAAGAAACCATAATCATAGAATCAGAGACTCACAGACTGGTTTGGGTTGGAAGGGACCTTAAAGCTCATCCAGTTCCAACCCCCTGCCATGGGCAGGGACACCTTCCACTAGACCACGGCGCCCCAAACCCCCGGGAC